TACAAGTTCCAGAATGCAACAGGAGGCATGATACACCTCCACTAAGAGCCTTTACAGACTGCCAGAATTTGTGCGGCTCGAGGCCACTTTAACTGTCCTGGCTCAGTGCTAAGGAATCATGGGAACTGTAGTTTATTGTGGCACCAGAGCTCTCTGACAGAGAAGGCTCAATGTCTCAGAAGAAACTACAATTCCCATGATTCCCTAGCACTGAGCCAGGACAATTAAAGTGGTCTCAAGCTGCATTATGTTCTGGGAGTTTGTAACGGCCCTAAGTCTTGAGGCAAATAAGCTGGACTTATTAAGGGACAACCTCACAGAGTCTAGGAGCAAAATAAACTGGACTTTAAGGGACACCTCCACTAAGTCTTGGGGAAAAATAAACTGGAATTATTAAGGGACACCTCTACTAAGTCTTGGGGCAAAATAAATAGGACTTATTATGAGATACCTTCATTAAGTGTTGGGGCAAAATAAACTGGAGTTATTAAGGGACACCTCCACTAAGGGGGGTTGCAGACTGCCAGAAATAGTGCAAATTGAGTCCACTTTTAGGGTTAGGGTTAGTGCTAGGGAATCATGGGAACTGTAGTTTATTGTGGCACCAGAGCTCTCTGACAGAGAAGGCTCAATGTCTCAGAAAAACAAACAAACAATTCCCATGATTCCCTAGCACTAACCCTAACCCTAAAAGTGGACTCAATTTGCACTATTTCTGGCAGTCTGCAACCCTCCTATGTCTTGAGGCAAAGTAAACTGGACTTATTAAGGGACACCTCTACTAAGTCTTGAGGCAAAATAAATTGGACTTTAAGGGACACCCTCACAGAGTTTTGGGGCAAAATATACTGGACTTGTTTCAGGGCTGCTACTGCTGCTGCCACACCTAGGTCCCGGGGCTGGTCTGCCTTGTCCGTCCGGGTTCCTTGTGAGGGCAAGGCAGGGCAGACACACACCCCGGACGCACTCCTTCCCTTCCCTTCCCTTCCCCTCAGAGCCCCTTCATACCAATGTGGCGACCCTCCTCCTCCGCCGCCGCCGCCGCCCCAGAGAACTCCGCTCCGCTCGGCTCGCCTCACCGCCCGAAAAGGCCGGGCAGCCGCCGAGGAGTGCCGAGAGGAGGAGCAGGATTTTTTTTTTTTAAATAGCCATCGATGACATCCGACCCTCGATTGCCCTGCCTGGTCAGGGCGCGGAGGGAGGGAGGGAGGGAGGGAAAGGAGGAGCCGGGGAGGAGCCAAGGGCGGAGTGGGCGTGGCCAGACCGGGACTTCAAGCGGGGTGTGCGCATGCGCGCCTGCGCACCAGCAAGATTATTAATTTCCCCCCCCCCATGCTGCTGTTTTAAAGAGTCTGATTGTGATTTTTTTTTAGTATTGTTGTTGCTGCTATTATTATTATTATATAGAAGGCTTCTTCCCTGGATATGCCTCTATTTTTTTATTATTATTATTTAGGAGGGGGCGGTTTTCTCCCTGGATATGGCTCCATTATTATTATTATTATTATTATTATTATTTAGGGGAGATGGCTTCCTCTCTGGAAATCGCACTATTGTTGTTATTGTTGTTATTTTTGTTGTATAGCAGGGGATGGGTTTCTCCCTGGATATGGCTATTATTATTATTATTATTATTATTTAGGAGGGGCTGGCTTCCTCTCTAGATATGGCATTATTATTATTATTGTTGTTATATAGGAAGGGATAGCTTCTCCCTGGATATGGGTCTATTATTTATTATTATTATTATTATTATTATTATTGTATAGCTTCCTCTCAAGATATGGCATGATTGTTGTTGTTGTTGTTGTTGTTATTATTATATAGGAAAGGATAGCTTCCTTCCTATATATGGCTCTATTATTGTTATTGGTAGTAGTAATAGTATATAAGAGGGGATGGGTTTTTCCCTGGATATGACTAATTATTATTATTATTATTATTATTATATGGCTTCCTCTCAAGATATGGCAGTATTGTTGTTGTTATTATTATTATTATTATTATTAATATTATATAGGAAAGGATAGTTTCCTTCCTATATATGGCTCTATTATTGTTATTAGTAGTAGTAATAGTATATAAGAGGGGATGGGTTTTTCCCTGGATATGGCTCTATTATTGTTATTATTTAGGAGAGGACGGCTTCCTCCCTGGATATGGCTCTGAACCTGTTGCTGCCCTCTTTTGCTCCAGATTGGACACGCATGGGAATCATCAAAACCAAATCCTGGGGCTGCATCATCTGCACTGCAGAAATAATTCACTTTGAGACTGCTTTAACTGCCATGGCTCCATGCTGTAGAATCCTGGGATTTGTAGTTTGGTGAGCTATTTAGCCTTCTCTGTCAGAGAGCTAAGACAAACTACAAATCCCAGGAATCCACAGCCTGGAGCCATGGCAGTTGAAGTGGTGTCAGAGTGGATTATCTCTGCAGGGCAGATGCAGCCCCAAAGGTGCCTGGCCAACTCCTCTCTGCTGCATTGCTTCTAAATCCCCATTGATCCCAGCCGGAAGGAAGGAAGGAAAGAAAGAAAGAAAGAAAGATTTACTCCTGAGTATATACCCACCCAAGACGATTTGCTTTAAAATAAATTGTGCTTTGCAAGGAGGGGAAAACCCTGCTGGAAGAGAGCTGGTTGTGGGACTTTAAAAAGGGAGGGGTGGATAAAAATCTGGAGAAATCATGAATAAATAGGGTGGAATATACATCAGAGTGGATGCAAGGCAGCAAAGTCAGGCATGGAAGTAAAGTCTTCTCTGCCCAGGAAAAGTATCTGAGAAGGATTTTGTAAATGGTTTAAAAATATCCTTTGACGCGCTCCTGTGGGCATCCTTAAAATGATGCTAATCGTCCCAGAAGGTAAGGACTAGGTATTTTTCTCCTTTTTTAAAAAGACACATCAGAAGCATGCTCAGTCTTCCCATAACACCCCCCTTCCATGTTGCCTTGTAAACATTTTGGCTCCTGCACCAAATCTGCAGCCACCCAAAACCCATTGCAGAGGATCACTCCCCTACTAAAATAAAGAAATCCCAAACCCTATGAGATAATCTTTCTCCAAGTCCTTTGCCAAAGGATCGATCCCTTACACATGGCAGTGTGGTGAAAAAGCCTGGGAACTGGTTACATAAAAGACAGGAAGCATCAGGAAACACTGTTGCAAGATAAATCAATAACTAACAATAATCCCAGATGAATAAATCTGGAATAATGAGCACCAGGGCTTGTTCCTTTAGTAACATGGGATGTAGGGCCCCTAGGGAAACATTGGGGGCCCTAGGGACAAATGCACCATAGGTTTCTTCCAGCTGGCATCACTGGCACCAAATACCCCTATGCCCCCCAATCCCCCCCCCTCTCTGCCCCCCAATATCTCCTTACCCCTCTCTCTGTCTCCCATCCGAGGTCCTTTGGTTGCTTCCAGGACGTACATACAATGCTGCTTCTTTGCTCTCTCCAGCAGCTTCCAAATTCACAGGCAGGCAAGCTGTTTTTTGCCTGCTGAAGAAGAGATGCAGAGACAGCAAACGGTGGGTGGCACAGTCTTGTGTTCCTATGCAATAGTGGCAGTCAGTGGTGCTCTTGGTGGTGGGGATCTTGAGTTCGAGGAGGTCGCCAAGGTTGTTTCTGTCAATCCGGGCTCCCTTCTTTTCTTTTCTTTTCCTTGCAGGTGCATGCAGCGGGCTGGCATTGGATGGACTGGCACCAAATCTTGGAGCTTGAGCTGTCAGCCTGACTTAATTTGCTTGCTAGAAATTATGCCATCCTAGATTTTTTTTCCCCTTTCCTCCCCTGTCTGTATGTGCTTGTCTTGGTTTTGAATGAGGCTTTGGACCAAGACTCTGGAGACCAGGGTTCGATTCCCACTTGGCCATGAAACCCACCCCCCTTTAATTGAGCCAAATAAAATGTTACAAAATTACATACAGTGGGCCCTTGGCATCCACTGGGGTTTGGTTCCAGGACCTCCCATGGCTATCAGAATTGAATTGGTTTTGAGTGAAGCATTGGACCAAGACTCTGGAGACCAGGGTTCGATTCCTGCTTGGCCAAGAACACCCCTCCCCCTTTATTGGGCCAAACAAAGTGTTGCAAAATTACATACAGTGGACCCTTGGCATCCGCTGGGGTTTGGTTCCAGGACCCACTCACCTGACATCAAAAGCTGGATGTTCAAGTCCCATTAAATAGAATGGATAGTAAAATAGTGTCCCTTCAATAATATGGCAAAAATCAAGCTTTGCTTTTTGGAAATTCTATACATTTTTAAAATACTTTGAAGCCATGGATGCTTCAGTCCATGGGTAATAGATACATGGATAAGGAAGGCTTGCCATATATGCCAGCGTGGCATAGTGATTTGAGTGTTGGACTACAACTTTGGAGACCAGGGTTTGATTCCCCGCTTGGCCATGAAACCCATTCGGTGACCTTGGGCAAGTGACATGCTCTCAGCCTCAGGAAGGCAATGGCAAACCCCCTCTGAACAAATCTTGTCAAGAAAACCCCATGATAGTGTTACTGTAAGTCACCACCGTAAGTAAGGCACCCACACACATGCATACTCAAGGTTAAAATGGAAAGGTATATAACCCCAATGCAGGCTAACCCAAATTTACTTGAAAGTAAACCCAACAGTGATGTCAGTAGCATTTTCTTGGAAGGAGGTGTAATTTTAATATTGCAACTTTTTAAGTGTGTGTGGGATCAAAAATCACGAAAGGAAAAACATCTTTTGAACATGTATCCTTTTTTCATGTTTCGTCAAGTGTGTAGGCATGTTTAATATTACTGATAAAACTCCTCTGCTGTTGTAGCATAATATATTTGTTGTTGCTGCTGCTGCTGTTGTTGTTGTTATGTGCCTTCAAGTTGTTTTCGATTGATAGCAACTCTGTAATGGGTTTTTCTTGGCAAGATTTGTTCAAAGGAGCTATTGCCTTCCCCTGCGGCTGAGAGTGTGTGACTTGCCCAGGGTGACTCAGTGAGTTTCATGGCCAAGCTGGGAATTGAACCCTGGTCTCCGGAGTCATATAGTCCAACACTTAAACCGCTATGCCACGTTGGTTCTTTCCGCATTATTTTTAGTTTATGCTTATTCGTGAGTCGGGAGACTTGTTTTCTATAGTCAATAAAATTATTGGGACTGCTTGCATTTTAAAATACAGTCGTCCCTCCTAGTTCGCAGATTTCCCGCTCATAGTCTTGAATTTCCGCAGACGGGAAGCCAGGAGGAACAAAATGACACCCCCACCCACGACACATGTGCGGGGCCATGTGCAGGAGTGTGTAGCCATTATATCTAATGGGGCTTGGATATCTGCGATTTTTCCAGTTCACAGGGGGGTCCGGAAGGGATCCCCCACAAATCGGGAAGGACAACTGTACAATAAAATAAAATCTAAAATCAAACAAATTAAGAAGTGTATTGCTGTGGTGTTGCTACTTTTTTACTTCTTAGTTCATCCTCCAAGTAATCTGGCACAGTATAAATAAATACTCCAAATTTTAGGAATGCACAGGGTTGAGAGGGAAAGTATGTTGTATAGATTGTAGACTCCTTAGGGCAGGGACCTGGCTTTTTCCTGTTCTGCAAAAGCACCATTTCATTTAAATGTACCACTCCCTCTGAAAGAGAACTCAGATGGGGAGCGCCAATGAGACTTTTGGAAAGTGGAGCCATTAGTGATACACAAAAGAGGTACCAATATCTGTGTGTATATGTACCTATGAGACAATGCCTTTCTTCAGCAGGCCAATTAGACATCCTGGATCTCAAAGGAAGTATCTTTTTATGTTCCTAATGGAATTTAAATTTTATTTCCTGGACTTTAAGATGCTTTGTCTCCTAGTACCCACATGGACAGAAGGAGGAGTGCCCTGCCTGCATGGATATCCCTCAATAACATTTTAACTCAGAACAACAACAACAACACTTGGACAAAATTCAGGCCTGTAACTAGCATCATCATATATATATATTTTCCTCCTGTATGATTTTTAACACTTTTGCCTGATGATGAAGCCAGTGGAGCTTCACAAGCTTGTAACAGTAAAAATCCTTTGTCCTTTCCTGAGTTGACCATTTGGCAATCACCGTCTGTGCATTAATTTTATCTTCTCCTGACTACTCCAGTATATTTTTATGCATGCATTTTTGTGCATGCTTAGACCAATAAAGGTATCACTGTTTTGTGAACTGGGGATCTTATTGTACTTTGCTATTTGGCCAACACAGCTACCCCTGGATATGAGTCCCATTTGGAGTAAGCAAGATCAGTGGCCTCCAGGAAGCGTGGAATGTCAAATGTCAGTTGGATGAGAGCATCTATACAAAAGGGAGGAAGGACGAGCAAATTGACCTCCTTGTTCCCCTTACAGCATATGCTATCATGGAAGAGAATGTGAATGAGTGGATGGATAGATGGAACCCTGTACAGGAATACTCTTTAAGAAATAAAGATATACTACACCATTGTTGTCTCCCAGGTCCATTACTTCCCAGTTTTCCAATGAAAACATCAACACTTCTTTTTATTAGTGTTGTCCCTGGACTCAGAAATGAAATGGTGGTAGTGACAAGAAGTGTTTTTGCACAACTCCAAGCCTTTGTCCTTTCCTGATTTGAGCAGTTGGCAATCACCATCTGTGCATTAATTTTATCTTCTCCTGGCTACTCCAATGTATTTTACATGAGGCTGCCTTTGAAAACGGTCAGGGAACCTCAGGTTGATGCAATATACAGCATCTAAGGTGCTAACTGGTGTACAGTACTGAAGTCATATAATATTTATTTCTTCCATGCCTCTCCCCATGGATCAAAGTGAGAATAGCAGCAGATAATATACAGTTAGCCTTCCCTATCCACAGATTTTTTTTTATCCATGGATCCAAGCAGCCGTAACTTGAAAATATTTTTAAAAATAGATAAATTCCAAAAAGTAAACTTTGATTTTGCTATTTATATAAGGGATACCATTTTACTATGCCGCTCTAGTTAATGAGACTTGAGAATCCATGGATTTTGGTATCCAAGTGGGGTCCTGGAACCAAATCCCAGTAGATATCAAGGCCCCACTGTATAACATAAGAACATCAATAAAAAACACAAAACGCAACATTAGTTAAAACACTCAACATCGATTTAAAAGAGCAAATAAGACTAATACATATTAAAACAACTGATCCATATTTAAAATTCACAGTTTAAAAATCATCTGGATAGGCCTGCAGGAAGAGACTGCTCTTTAATGCTGTTTCAAATTCAGATATCATATTCAGCTGTCGAATCTCTTCTGGCAGGTCATTCCACAGTCTAGGGGTGGCTGAAGAAAAATACCTCTGGGTGAGAGCTGCCAACCTAATCCTGGCTGATCAGATTAAATATCCCCCAGATGACCTGGTAGTATGGGGCCGATGATATAGGAGGAGGTGATCCTGTAGATAACCTGGTCCCAAACCATGTTGGGCTTTAAAGATAATAATTAACACTTTGTATCTTGCTGGGAAACTAACTGGCAGCCAGTGGAGTAATTTTAATATTGGTGTCAGATTGGGTCCAATTTGAAAGATTTGTTTTAAACTTCAAAAAAAGAAACTTAACGTCTTGGGAGTCTGGCTACCTAAAGGACAGCCTGTTTTGTCGCAAACTTGTCCAAACATTAAGAGCTCCAGGAGATGCTGCCATTACCAGCAGAGAACCTCTTTCTCTTGGGTATATCCCAAGTTGTAGAATGCACTCATCCCGGAGTTACAATCAATTCCTACTCTTGCTGCTTCTTGGAAGGATGTACTTTTTTCCCAGCTATGATAATAATGTTTTTATTCTTTGTTTTTACTGATCTTCTTATCTATCCTGAGAACTACCTTTAAAAGTGGAAATGTAGGATAGAAGTGCAATGCAACAGTTTTCATATTATCCATAATGGCAAATTATTATGGCTAATATGGAAATGATGGCACTTGACTTTCCTGTCCTAGTTACCAACCAGTTTCTGCATAATTTCAAATACAACAAACCAGGAAAACCTGCTGGACAGACAATTTGAATGTTATGTGCTTTTTTTCCTATAGCAAGCTGCTATAGTAATAAGAGTAATTCTGAATTGATAATAGCTAAAAAGCCTTTCTGGTAGCATTCCTTGATGAATGCTGACAATTCTGACCTTAAATCATTTATTAGGCTTAATGGATGAATTTCTCACATTCGGAGCACTTAACTCTAGTTGCAATATATATCCAAATTAAGCATTTAACTAACAAAACACCTCTGCCTGAAAGCATGTGCTATATCTTATAAACCTCACACACTCTCATGTTGAAGTTATAGTGAGCTGTGAGCATGCCTAGCAGTAGCCAAAGATACATTGCTGCCTGAGCAAGACGGCACCCCTTTCCATTCCATGCACAAAGCTAGCAATTCATTTTTCCTCCCTCAGTGGGACCTTTTCACACTACACAATAATAGCTCAATTATGATTCCCCTTTAACTATCATGGCCACCTGTGGAATCCTGTGATTTTAAGTTTAGAAAAAGGTACTGAGAGCCACAATCCCTGGATGCATTTACGGATGAAGCCTTCAAGTGGACTCTACAAGGTTCAACATTTTTTGATTATTTGCTTACTTGTGCAAGGGTGGCAATGACTTGTTTGCTTCCTTTCACATGTGTGTTAGTTTTGAATAAAATGTTTGCTGAAACATGTTGGAACTGTTCTTGTTTGTAGTGGTGTAGGGACCTATCCCTCTTCTTTCCATGTTATTTCTTCCTCATACCAAATTTTCTCTTAAAGAAGTAAAACTCGGGAACACATCTACTCCATTATACCTGTGCACTAAAATGGCAACAGCCTGAACTCAAAGAGAAACCCTATCCATTTTTTTAAATTATCATTCTATTTTTGATGTTCAGACATGAGTGCTGATGTTTTGGTAGCCAAAACGGCACCATCCACACCCAAAAAGGGAGGCTCAACTGCCTGTTCCCCTTTCCTTGGTCCTGTCAGCACTGGTCATCATTCATTCCTATATAATATGCTTTCTGGGTCACTGGGTAACTAGTTATACTTAAAATACATGCTGGGCGTTGGTTGTTATTTTGCCAGACTAAATATATCCATGTTAAACCTCAGGCACAGGGCCAATAGTAAATTGCAATTATGCCACTGACTTGGCCAGTTGCCTCTGAGTAAGCTGTTGCTCAAGCACTCAACAGAACAGGGGTGGAGAAATGTGTTGTCCTCCAGAGGTTGTACTACAACTTCCATTAGCCCCAGTCAGTGTGGCTAGTGGTAAGGGTTCATGGGAAATCCCAGCATTTGGAGAAGCTACATTTTTGGACTGGATCTCCTATATGGAGATTCTGGGAGTTTGTTGTTGTTGTTGTTAACTGACTTTGAGTCGATCCTGACTCATGGTGACCCTCTGGATGAGATATCTCAAAGACCCCTTAGCCTCCACCGCTCTGCTCTACCTGTGACCTCCCTAATAGGGTCTATCTATCTAGTGTGTGGTCCTCCTCTCTTTCTATTGTCCTCCACCTTTCCTAGCATTATTGCCTTTTCTAATGAATCAT